ATATAATATTATATTATAGGAGGTGATTTTGTTGTCGTTTTCTTGTGTTAAAACAAATAATGACAGTATTTTCAATAAAATATTAAAAACAAGTTGTCCGGAAAGTATGGCTTCAAATCAGTGCTCAGATAATTCGAATTCGATGTCTGAATGCGTATCGATTCGAGCTCGGAATCCGTGGTTATGTCGAGCATTTAAACGACTTCGCATATGACGATGAACCGCTCGCAGGAGATGGTGATGAAACATACTCCAGATGATCCCGATGGAATTCTCCCTGCGACCTTAGAACAACGAAGTGATGGCGTAATTCCACTCGGTGAATGGTAAGTTGTTGTTTTCTCCTGTTTGTAATATACACATAAAGTTACTTTATAAACCACAATGCTCCCACGTTTCAGGTGTAATTGTCAATGCTGTCATACCGATTTGTTAGAAGGCGCATTAGGTACAGATGCTGTAAGGAAATAGGACCAGCTTTGCAGAAAATGACATTCGATGGCAGCATTGAGAAAATATCATGTAACACAGCATGCCAAATTTGGGCCTTTAGTTCATGAGGCTGTCCTTGAAAACGTCGGGCCACTATTGAGAGATGGAATGGACGTGCTTATCGCCGCCAACATCACAATCATTAAATATGTAAGATTGTAAATTGTATGAGAAGAATGTTATCATCAACATTGTTTCATCAACAATAATTAGTCCAACCTTTTTTTACTTCAGGTACTTGAGAGCTGTGGCATACAGATGGTTGATCGATGGTTTTGTGGGTCTATGGGATGGGGAGAATACTGGGCCTTTACCTGCTTGTGTTTACCACTTTATTCGGAAGCATATCCAAGTGGTAACACAAGGTTATACCATCAGAGGCTGATGATGGAAAGGTCTTTAACTTGTGCACTGTAGAGACTGTTGGCCTTCTTTGCTGAGTTTAGAATGGTCAGGAAATATGCCTAGATGAAAACCAAATAGGAGATACATGGATGCACTATACGGTAAAGAAAATCTTTTCTTCAATGTCAGTCTGGGAAAAAAAAGAAAAATTATATGGAATTAAATCATAGCATAAATGTAAAAATGGAAAATAGCAAGCCACATGAACTTATCTTATAAGGTCTTCACACTTGAGTGCACTGCATCCACAAAGGGCATGTGAGCATTAAACTACAATAAAAAAAATTATTCATGAAAATTAATTAGTTACTGTCGAGTGAGATAGTCATCTTCAATCTGACAAGTATACATACCATTCAATGTTATATTAATACTGTAATCATCAGGAAAGGTGTGTATATCAGTGCCTGATAGGGAGGCTAGAGGTACTATCACTTGCCTAAGGTGAACCCTCAGGCTGGTGGTGGGAAGGAGGTGCCTTACTTCTCCGTTCCAGACAGGCTCAAGCAATGTCTGACCACTGCCCTATCATCTACCAACTTCAATTTATTCTTTTCAGTGAAGCATTGACCTCGAGGATGTCCTTTCATTGGAGCTTTGCATTTAGTACATTTGCAGTACTTTTATTCCCACCAGCTTAAAGTCTTTTTGTAAAGATGTAAGTTTTTCTTAAGACGATGGCACGATTTACATGGAGACTGGGATTCACAAATATCTTCACCAACTGCATGTAGTTCTTCTTCAAATGGCGACGTTTGCTTCCCCAGTGCATACTTCAACATGCTCAGCTCCATCACTAGTAGATGGTACTTCCTCATCGAGAGAACATGTTTCCTTCAGCGATGGCTTATGGAAGTATGTCGAATAATCTACAAAACATATATCAGATTTACATATGACAAAGAGAAAATTATAAACAAGCGTAAACTTACTTGTCTGCCTTTCGATCGGTTATTTCGTCCTGTAATGGTTCAGGAATCCCAGCCACGTCAATGGTTGGGATAGCATCTTTCTTCAACCTTCTTTTGAGCTTGACTTGCACGCTCAAATTAAGGTCAAAACACTTCAAATGCGCAGAACACAGACACAGGTAGAGAAGCCTCAAACCCGGTCTATGTTTACGCACAAAATTTACCATTTTCATGTCTTTGCGGCTCTGTTTCTTTATTGAAACAGATGCATCGACATTCCTTCTGTTTTTGAATCATTGGCGCAACTAATTTGATTAGGTCCGCCAGCAACACAGCGTTTTCCTCCGCGTTTCTTATTAAGATTACTAGTAGAATACGCCATGTTGATATATGTGTTCAACTATCTACGTCACAACTCATTAGCATACCGATCAAAAAGTTCGCAAAAAAAATGCTGAAAATCGTGACTTTGAACGTCCATAAAATCACTTTCACCAATCCAATTTCAATTATAATTGCAGATTTAAAATCACTGAAATAAGGTCTTTCAATTTAGCTAATAAAAAAGGGGGGCTAAAATTCGTGATATAACCCCTTTAACGCGCGGCTGGGTATTAAAAATATGGATGCCGTCATTCCAAACATGGCAAATTTTGGGGAAAACGTCATCAGAATGAAAAATAAAAAATTATCCGCCCAGTCGAAGTCATCAAGGTCCTCAGGAGTAAGAAAGGTTAATTGTTTCATATTTATTACGAAAAACGCGCAGCTATGGGCTGCCTATGATCATTGTTGCTTGGGCTTTGGCAAGTGCAAAGACTTCAAATTCAGTTTTCATTTTTGTAAGCGTCTCAAAAATTGTAAAAATGCCCGACGATAAAAACAATGAATCTGATGAAGTGTCAGGAGTTCAAAAGACTGGGAAACATAATTCGTTGCAAGAAGATGAAGGAAATAATCCCAACAAAAACAGCACTTCAGCTTCCCAAGCAAATGATTCAGGTTCTGGAAATGACAATCCAAGAAAGAAGAAGCTTCCAAGGTATTTTACTTCAGTCTTGGTCCAGGCCCACACTGGAAAGTTTGTAAACGGCACACCCAAGATTTGAAATGTGTGTGCATAAAAGCATTGTTTTCTAAAAGATGCCAGAGATCTCAGGTGTGCTCTACGAACTTTTCAGTCTGCCCTAGTGTGGGATTAATATAGACTTCTTAATCCTATAGAAAGAAATTTTTACTTTTAAATGTCTAATTTCTTAGTGTTTTTGTAGTTGGGCAGTACCTGCTGCAGCGCTAGCTGGTGGTGTAGGTCTTGTTGTAGCTGCTCCAGTTGCTATTGCAGCTATTGGTTTTACATCTGGTGGTATAGCTTCTGGATCTATTGCTGCTTCAATGATGTCGTCTGCAGCAATAGCCAATGGTGGTGGAGTTGCTGCTGGCTCTGCAGTTGCAATACTTCAATCAGCTGGTGCTGCTGGTGGTGCTGCAACTTCAGGAGGGCTTGGAGCTATTGGTGGGGTAGTTGGTGGTGGTGCTACTTGGCTGGCAGGAAAGTTTTATGAAGAGAACATGAACCACTGATGATCCTAAGTCACTAATCCCAAGTCACCCCTGATGATAATCCCAAGTCACCCCATCCTAAGTCACCCCCTGATGATCCTAAGTCACCCAATGATAATCCCAAGTCACCCCCTGATAATGCTAAATCTTCCTCGGATAATCATGAGTCAAATAAATCTCCTAAACAGCATGATGAAGATGATGAAGATGATAAAGTTTATTTTTCATCCCTAAACAAAATTACTTCCTATAGAGGTTAAAGTTGCATGTAATGTCATTAATATTATACATAAAAAGAGTAATATAAAAGTATGGAACTACTGCTTTATGAAAAATAAATATTCCTTATATTTTAGCAAAAACTATGCTATTTGTTGAATGTGATTTCAACACGTTTTCTAAATTTCTATCATCTCCTACTCATTTGATAGAGTTTGTACAGTTCATTTGTACTAGCACAGTGTCATTGTTTTTCATACAGCTTAGTTGACATGGTGAGCATCTGCTTGTTTGTTGATTTTCTATTGTTATAACCAATGCTTGCATGGTCAGCGACAAATGACATAGTTTGTCATAGCAAAGAGCAGTCTTGTCCTGCCACGAATGAAACGACGGTAACTATCACAATCATTGATGTATTCCCCCTTGACATTTTCCATGTGACTCTTGACTAACGAGGTCCAAATGCGAACAGGTTTGTTTGCTACCACTTTGCCAATGTGACTGCGCCGTTAGTTGTCGGGATGAATAAAAGTTATTGTATTGGATGAAAAGGGAAAAGTGCTATGTCTGACGAAGAGAACAATCATAACGACAGTGGTACTGAGGAAAATGATGATGACGCAAGTTCAGCCTCAAAAAGTGAAGAAGAGAAAGAGAAATCTGCCTCCCCAAGACCTTCTAAGTCTCGCTCTAGTCGACTCGATGGTCCCCCACCAACCAAACTTTACGTTGGTAATTTACCCGAAGATTGCAAACGTTCTGAGCTCTCGGCATTGTTTGAAAAATATGGTAAACTTGAGAAATGCGACGTGCTTCGCAGTTTTGCGTTTGTGGTGAGTGAAATCCAAAGGATCGTGTTATTGAGAGCTTTGAGACCATTCAGTTAAACAACCTGGGTACTTATTGCTTTTTATTGTGCCTCCCACATGTCTTGAATGTTATGTTATTGTGAAGAGACGGCGGATAGTGGTGGCTAAATTAGCTTATTTTTAATAGCATTATGAACATGCTGAAGATGCGCTAAAAGCTGTACAGAAGTTAGATGACTCTCAATTCATGGGTGTACATATTCAAGTTCAGGTATTAAATAATAGTAGTCCTAGGAGATGTTCGAAGATGATTTTTATTTTTTTTTTGGTCATTGCATCTCTGATTGTAGCATGCTAAAAGCAAGGGGAAGCCAAATGCTGGTGAAAATGAATGTTTTGAGTGTGGACGAGATGGTCATTGGTATGAACCATGATTCTTATTATGGTTTCTCTGAATTCCTGCCAAACAATTTGCCACTATATTTCAGGGCCCGTGACTGTCCAAAAGGCGAAACATGATGATGATTACATGTAGGGTCTTACAACTTGTTGAGATTTTACATGAAGTTTATGAAAGTTATTTTATGACATCAAATTTTTCACTGTCACTCAAGGCGTCTACCAACACCAAGAGCAAGCAACCATGATTCAATTCATCGTGGAGGTAACAGCTATCGTGCTTCAGATAGCTATCGAGGGCCAGAGAGTTATCGAGGTCCAACTTATCAAGGTGCAGACCATTACCCAGATCGTTATACAGACCGGTACCCAGATCGTTATCCAGACCGATACCCAGATCGATACCCAAACCATTACCCTGAAAGAGGGTACCGAGATTTCCATGATAGCTACAGAGATGTTTATAGGGATAGGTATCGAGTTGGTTATTATGGTGATGGTTATTATAGTGATCGTTATTTTGGCCCACCTCGTTATACTCCATATGGTTATGGTGGAAGACGAATGAGAAGTCGATCACCTCCACCCAGGTTTTAACTTGATAAATTCATGATCAATATGGTATATAGCTTGACACTGTTGAATTTCTGTCTTACAGGTCTTACCATGGTAACTATGGATACCCACCAAGACGGTAAGATGAAGTATTATGAGTCGAGTGAAAATATCTACATATCTTAGTCATCACATGGAACAGAACATTATGTACAAAACATAGTTCCCTTTTTTATCTTTTACAACTATTTTAAATGCAATCCATAGCTAGACAAGCTACTTTTACAAAGACTACAAAGGCTTGTGTCATATTACTACCAATACAATACAATTCACCTTAAAATGTTGTGAAGAACCTTCTCATTCGGAATGGCGACCATAATATTGTTAACATATGTGGCATTGCAAACTGCAAGTGTTGTAGTTTGTTATGATTTATCAAGAAATGATTGACCTGGATAAAAGATTAAAGAATACGAAGTGACAAGTATCGGTAGGCTATCTTAAACGGACGTAGGTCTTCCACAGAGGTAAAGAAATCTCGGAAACGGTTCCCATGTTGTTGATACGCTTATCGGTTTATTCGTCATGTGTGAAGTTTTCTATAGCTGTCAAAGATATCGAATCATATCCAATGTCTGTTCATTACCGAGAGTGGGAAGGATGCAGTGCAACAAATGAATACAAGATGATTAAAATCTTTGTACAGTGGTTATTTGAGTGAAGATACTTATCTGAAGGAATTTCTTTGCGTGTGATGCGGACGATGTCATAAGGCGCAAGGAATCAACACATACTTGATGTCTATAGATCACTCATCTCAAATTATTCTCACCTTACAGGGATTTGTAAAACCTATCTCTACCTTATGAAGTTTCTTAGTCATGCATTTTTTCTTTATAGGTTGAACATAAAGTTTGTGGACTAAACCATCAAGTTTTTGAACATGAAAATCAAATAACATGAAGTCTGACACATCTATGGTAAATATAGCTCTGGTGCTTTGAGTGGCTTTCAAAATGATATCCTATTTTAAACATTTTTTGTGACAAAAACTTAAGGAGACTACATGAGAAAATATGAAATTGTCCTGTGTAAAAGAATGAAATTGTGGAAATGTTGAATGAAAGTCAAAGATATTCAAGACAGGAATGTTACATGATGAAAGAGAAATATTCAAGACAAAACTATCACCTCAAAAGATGTTGAATGAAATCTGTTTACGACAGAAATATCACCAAAAACAATGTTCAGGGCAGAGATATCATCATTTGCATGAATGAAAAAGGTTCAACTGTTCAAGCAGAAATATCATTTGCAATTTTGAATGAAAGATATATATACTGCACAAAAAATGACCTTCAATGTTTAAGTAATTTTTAATGTATTTTTAACATAATATTTATGTTTGTATCTAAGTTTTTTTGTGATCTAACAGAGGACTGCAAAGTATCAGGCTTTGTTTTGAAAATATGTTTAAAAGCCATTTATTTAAAAACCACCTTGCACTTTTTACATTGAATTGCGTGACTTCACGTCTTTATATCATAAATTTAATTCTTGTTAAATATATTAATAATTTAGTAAATTTACTAATATACACATAAGAAGTTGGGATGTCTTTTTGAACTTCTGATAACGTATACAGTGTGCGAATTAACGGTGTGCAATGTGCAATTTGCACATCGTTTTAGCTAAAATGAGAACAACTGCACATCACTTTTTTCAAACGATGTGCAAAAATCAGCGGTTTTAACGAAAAACACTGTCGTGAATCATATGAATTTGTTCACGTTTGAAAATATTAATTTAGCAATTAGCGCTATATAAAAATTAACGTAATATCGATTTGATTATGTCTCCAAAGAAACACTTTTGTCAAAAAAATTGCACATCGTTTTTTCTCAACTAATTCGCACACTGACGTATATCAAAATGACAAAATGTATTTCTTTCTGAAGAACTGATCGTGCTACAAGTACACTCCAATGCTCCAGTTCAAAAATAAATAAACACATAATATCTTTAGTAAGTGATCTTAAGTAGCACATTTACCCGCTAGATTTTATTGAGATGAGGATTAAATGATCCATGTGAATTTCATAATCCACAAGAACGCTGTGTAAACGACAGTTCCACTGATCACTATACTCTACAGGAGTTCAATCTCTACATCGCCTTTTTGAAAAATTTTTAAAAAAAACAAACAATGTCACTCTAGAAGTCAGCATGAAATGGTATTTCTACAATATCAATTACTTTTTCTGTAAATACAATAAAATCACATTTGTCGATTTGGCTCATAGCCATACCCATTTGGACTTTAAAGCAATACAAATGGTTCCTGTTCAACACTTTCTTTCCACTATCATTAGGTTTCCCACAAATAGCTGCTGAGAAAAATGAAGATTTGTGATGCATATTCTTGCATGTTAGAGGGCATTTAATTTCAAGTGTCCTTGAACCACAGTATTCACCAGGCGAGGAGTGAAATAAAACCATTTCTGCTCAAGCATAGCATAAACACAAATTTCATGCTGCAAGGCGGTGGCACAAGCGTACATATCCACAGTTTCTCCCACGTAGCGGACATAATGCTTTGCTCCAGATGCTTTTCCATCGATTCGTATCGAAATAAATACGGTCGAAAAGTAGCTGGATTTTGTATCAAAACATCGTTACACATTTCTCGAATGTGAGCAAAGTTTTCGTCGCTTTCACCGTTTATAGCCAACGCAACTACTCGATAAAAGCAATTGCCGTCTCCACATACTTTTAGTTCTTTTGTCCCAACTGGCAACAAATAACCATTATAATGGAAATAAGTGCTTTAAATTGAGAATTCTCGTAAATATCACTATCACAGATATATTTTTGAAGAAATGTTTGCCCCCTGGCGATCCCAGAATGCCTTGAAAAAACCGCGCTAATTTAATGGAGACTGGCAACCGGTAAATATCTCATTACAGTCAGACAACTTGCGGAGAAGGATAACAAGAAACGCAAATAGTCAAATAAAATCTCTTCAAAATGAGGTATTTTTTTTAGACTATTCTCAAATATTCGCATTATCATAGACCTTAATTAACAGTGGTATTATTTATTCATTCTTCTCCATTAAAACGTTCTGCAAGTTTGAATAACAACGTTTCTGTTTTCCTCAGTATGAAGTCAAATTTATTGCACAATAAAATTTATAATTTTATTTTGACAAAATGCATCACATCGAGTACATGACATCGAGTTAGAAATATTATCATTTGGTTTTTTTCAACATAAATAGAAAATGATGAATTATTTTTGCAAGATCATAAATAGACTCAATACTTAGTCAATGTTCGTATTGGATGGGTATTCCTAATGTCCTGTTCGCTCTTTGTCCGAAATTAGCGAAATTTTGGCAGATTTTGCCATTTTACACACATTCTGATTCCGGAAGGGTTAAATTTCTTATAAACAATCATAACACTTTCGATTATATGGAAAATTTTATCTCTGTTATCATATTATCGATTGATTAAAACAATTCCTCGTGAATATAGAAAATATTTCAGTGCTGTCACGCTGTGACACTTAAGTTTGGCTCGGAGGAAATCATAAATATTACAGAAAGCAATTTTGACAACAATGTGATTGCGATGTTTGGTTAGGTCGTGAAGTATTGATAAGAAATATCTGGCAGTTTAAACGCAATATGTAAGGGCTTGCCAACACTTATAAACATATGTTTATACATGAAACATTGTAATATAGATCAATACATGACAACATTCTCTTCGCATTGTAAACATACAAGTTTGTTCATGTTAAGGCATCATATTACCGATAAACTGCACACCCAAGATTTGAAATATGTGTGTATAAAACAATGTTTTCTCAAAGTTGCCTGAGATCTCAGGTGTGCACTACAAACTTTTCAGTCCGCCCTAGTGTAGGATTAATAAAGTTTTCTTAGTCCTATAGAAAGAAATTTTTACTTTTATATGTCTAATTTCTCAGTGTTTTTGTAGTTGGACAGTACCTGTTGCAGCGGTAGCTGGTGGTGTAGGTCTTGTTGTAGCTGCTCCATTTGCTATTGCTGGTATTGGTTTTACATCTGGTGGTATAGCTGCTGGATCTTTAGCTGCTTCAATGATGTCATCTGCAGCAATATCCGGTGGTGGTGGGGTTGCTGCTGGCTCTGCAGTTGCAGTACTTCAATCAGCTGGTGCTGCTGGTATTGGTGCTGCAACTTCAGCAGGGCTTGGAGCTATTGGTTCAGCAGTTGGTGGTGGTGCTGCTTGGCTTTTTGGATAGTTTTAACAAGGAGAAGATAAACCACCCAAAACAAAATTACTTTCTATAGAGGTTAAAGTTGCATGTAATATGTCATTAGTATTATACATAAAATGAGTAATGTAGAAGTATAGAACTACTGCTTTATGAAAAATAATTGTTCCTTATATTTTAGCAAAAACTATGCTATTTGTTGAATGTGATTTCAACACGTTTTCTAAATTTCTATCATCTCCTACTCATTTGATAGAGTTTGTACAGTTCATTTGTACTAGCACAGTGTCATTGTTTTTCATACAGCTTAGTTGACATGGTGAGCATCTGCTTGTTTGTTGATTTTCTATTGATAAAACCATTGCTTGCATGGTCAGCGAGAAATGACATAGTTTGTCATAGCAAAGAGCAGTCTTGTCCTGCCACGAATGAAACGACGGTGACTATTACAATCATTGATGTATTCTCCCCCCCTGACATTTTCCATGTGACTCTTGACTAACGAGGTCCAAATCCGAACAGGTTTGCTACCACTTTGCCACTGTGACTGCGCCGTTAGTTGTAGGGATGAATATAAATTATTGTATTGGATGAAAAGGGAAAAGCGCTATGTCTGACGAAGAGAACAATCATAACGACAGTGGTACTGAGGAAAATGATGATGACGCAAGTTCAGCTGCAAGTCTCGCTCTAGTCGACTCGATGGTCCCCCACCAACCAAACTTTACTTTGGTAATTTACCCGAAGATTGCAAACGTTCTGAGCTCTCGGCATTGTTTGAAAAAATATGGTAAACTTGAGAAACGCGACGTGCTTCGCAGTTTTGGTGAGTGAAATCCAAAGGGTCGAGTTGTTGAGAGCCTTGAGACCATTCAGTTAAACAACCTGGGTGCTTAATGCCTTATATTGTGCCTCCCACATGTCTTGAATGTTATGTTATTGTGAAGAGACGGCGGATAGTGGTGGCTAAATTAGCTTATTTTTAATAGCATTATGAACATGCTGAAGATGCGCTAAAAGCTGTGCAGAAGTTAGATGACTCTCAATTCATGGGTGTACATATTCAAGTTCAGGTATTAAATAAGAGTAGTCCTAGGAGATGTTCGAAGATGATTTTTATTTTTTTTTTGGTCATTGCATCTCTGATTGTAGCATGCTAAAAGCAAGGGGAAGCCAAATGCTGGTGAAAATGAATGTTTTGAGTGTGGACGAGATGGTCATTGGTATGAACCATGATTCTTATTATGGTTTCTCTGAATTGCTGCCAAACAATTTGCCACTATATTTCAGGGCCCGTGACTGTCCAAAAAGACGAAAACATGATGATCGGCGTTACATGTAGGGTCTTACAACTTGTTGAGATTTTACATGAAGTTTACGAAAGTTATTTTATGACATCAAATTTTTCACTGTCACTCAAGGCGCCTACCAACACCAAGAACAAGCAACCATGATTCAATTCATCGTAGAGGTAACAGCTATCGTGCTTCAGATAGCTATCGAGGGCCAGAGAGTTATCGAGGTCCAACTTATCGAGGTGCAGACCGCTACCCAGATCATTACACAGACCGTTACCCAGATCGTTATACAGACCGTTACCCAGATCGTTATACAGACCGTTACCCAGATCGTTATACAGACTGTTACCCAGATCGTTATACAGACCGTTACCCAGATCGTTATACAGACTGTTACCCAGATCGTTATACAGACCGTTACCCAGATCGTTATACAGACCGTTACCCAGATCGTTATACAGACTGTTACCCAGATCGTTATACAGACCGTTACCCAGATCGTTATACAGACCGCTACCCAGATCGTTATACAGACCGTTACCTAGATCGTTATACAGACCGCTACCCAGATCGTTATACAGACCGTTACCCAGATTGTTATACAGACCACTACCCAGATCGTTATACAGACCGTTACCTAGATCGTTATACAGACCGCTACCCAGATCGTTATACAGACCGTTACCCAGATCGTTATACAGACCGCTACCCAGAGAGAAATATTCAAGACAAAACTATCACGTCAAAAAATGTTGAATAAAGTCTGTTTAAGACAGAAATATAACCAAAAAACAATTTTCAGGGCAGAGATATCACCATTTGCATGAATGAAAAAGGTTCAACAGTTCAAGCAGAAATATCATTTGCAATTTTGAATGAAAGATATATATACTGCACAAAAAATGACCTTCAATGTTTAAGTAATTTTTAATAAATTTTTAACATAATATTTATGTTTGTATCTAAGTTTTTTTGTGATCTAACAGAGGACTGCAAAGTATCAGGCTTTGTTTTGAAAATATGTTTAAAAGCCATTTATTTAAAAACCATCTTGCACTTTTTACATTGAATTGCGTGACTTCACGTCTTTATATCATAAATTTAATTCTTGTTAAATATATTAGTAATTTAGTAAATTTTTAAATATACACATAAGAAGTGGGGATGTCTTTTGGAACTTCTGATAGCGTATATCAAAATGACAAAATGTTTTTTTTCTGAAGAACTGATCGTGCTACAAGTACACTCCAATCCTCCAGTTCAAAAATAAATAAACCCATAATATCTTTAGCAAGTGATCTGAAGTGGCACATTTACCCGGTAGATTTTATTGAGATGAGGATTAATTGATCCATGTGAATTTTTATAATTCACAAGAACGCGGTGTAAACGACAGTTCCACTGATCACTATACTCTACAGGAGTTCAATCGCTACATCGCCTTTGACCGAGTTTTATTGTTGAGAACAAGATAAAAATTGACCTCTTGTTGTCGTTTTTTTCAAACACAACTTACATGCACTAATGAATGTATCATGAAACGCAGTTTTTCTCTATAGACAATACATCTGTCAATTGGCCCGTAGCAATAGTTCCTTTCGCTTGTTTTATTATATTGTACTCACCCACCTCCCCCCCTGATTATTTATTAATTCTTTACAAGCTACTACATCCGTCCGGTGATAAACGCCTAGCAGTGAACAAGACGTTCGACATTCGACATTTGTCAAAGGAAGTCACAATTTAGGAATACCAGACTTCATACTATTTGTTAAAAGCTTAAATTGATATCGTCAGTAGTGTCTTCGAAGAAAAACAGACACCATATTTCATCAAGAAAGAACAAACAGCGGGCAGTCGTCAAATTATAGTCAGACAGCTTGCGGAAGTGGATTACAAGAGGCCCAAATAGTCATATAAAATCTCTTCAAAATGAGGTATTTTTTTAGACTATTCACAAATATTCGCATTATCAGAGACCTTAATTAACAGTGGTATTATTTATTCATTCTTGTCCGTTAAAACATTCTGCAAGTTTGAATAACAACGTTTCTGTTTTCCTTAGTATGAAGTCACATTTATTGCACAATAAAATTTATAATTTTATTTTGACACTATGTACATGACATCGTGTTAGAAATATTGTCAATTGGCTTTTTTCAATATAAATAGAAAATGATGAAATATATTTGCAAGATCATAAATAGACTCAATACTTTGTCAATGTTCATATTGGATGGGTATTCCTAATGTCCCGTTCGCTCTTTGTCCGAAATTAGCGAAATTTTGGCAGATTTTGGCATTTTACACACATTCTGATTCCGGAAGGGTTAAATTTCTCATAGACAATCATAACACTTTCGATTATATGGAAAATTTTATCTCTGTTATCATATTATCGATTGATTAAAACAATTCTTCGTGAATATAGAAAATATTTCAGTGCTGTCACGCTGTGACACTTTTGTTTGACTTGGAGGAAATCGTAAATATTACAGAAAGCAATTTTGACAACAATATGATGCGATGTTTGGTTAGGTCGTGAAATATTGATAAGAAATATCTGGCAGTTTAAACGCAATATGTCAGGGCTTGCCAACACTTATAAACATATGTTTATACATCAAACATTGTAATATGGATCAATACATGACAACATTCTCTCCGCATTGTAAACATACAAGTTTGTTCATGTTAAGGCATCATATTACTGATATGGATATAATTTTAAACATTTTTAAATTTGTTAGTATTTATCCTTTATTGTCCTACCATGTTGTTTCTACTTTACATAATCAATATAGCATCATGCTCCTTGATATTGCCATTCTAATTTAAACATTCCTTTATTCAATTGTTAGGGCAGTTATTAGTTTTATGAACTCTGATATTACACACTGTGTATTTCTAAAATGATTGTTGGGAATATTTGATTATTAGTGGTAATGGTCATTCCAATTGGAAATGATTGATAAATAAATAAGTGTGCATGCAATTGCTAAGAAATAGTTAAAACATCAACGTACTGTTATGTCAATAATACAATGATTGTGAGCAATAGGGAATAAGCATTGGTAGTCGTGGTAATTGCAGGTGTTGAATGTATTAGTGAGCATGTAAAATCTAAGGAATTACCATACTTTTACAAAAGTGTAGGGTGGTTTTGTTGATGAATAATTAGTATTTTTAATTAGCAAGCCAGACTGGAATGCTTGCATAGGGAAGATCTTGCCGGCGCATTTAGAAACCTTAATGTACTAACTGCCCTCACATAGTGTAATTACTAAGTTAACTCTTAAGTAGTGTTTTTGAGCAAATTTCATGTTTCCCAGTGCTAAGAGAGACCACAAAATTTATTTTGCTTGTGTGATTTGCTAACTGTCAAGTCTGTAATAGCAAGTATGTAATATATAAGAATTTCTCAAATATTAGCCATGTCACAATGCAGTGGCATAGTCCCACCTAATGTTTTTTTGGGCCATAATTTTGAACACCAGTTGAAGTTGTGAGCCTTTCTAGGGGATTCTGGCAAAGCCATGGAAAATGAGCTTTCTCTTGGTAAATTTTAAAATCTGATTTCCCATGCTGACATTTTCCCTCCTAATTTCATCATGGATTTCATCTTTTCATGAGAGCGGTCTTTTGGCCAATTGCTGGTCCAAGATAGGCTGTCTGCTGCCTCCGTAGTTTATGTTTAAGCAATAATTACCATGGTTTATTGTATATAGTGAAGTGTCTATGGTTAAGTCAAGAGCATCTGTGATGTTGTATAATAATGACAAGAAAGTATGGGAACAAGCTGAAAATGCTCGAAGCATGTCCTATGTCCAAGTGTATCATCATGAGGGTAATAACACATATAGAATTGTTGGACGCAGTTCATCAGATCAAGCGGTAAGAATTTGTACTTCCTTTTGGAAACTTGAGAAAATTCTTGTTCATCATTTTTTTATCGCATATTTTTGCTTTGTTTTCAATTTGTTTTTTCTTTGTGTGGTTTTTTTGTACATTTCAAACCTCATAAGAAATAAGCCATAAATATAAGCTATAATATTTTGTTTTGATGTAGGTTCTAATAAATTGCTCCATAATTCGTAACATGAAGTATAATGTAGCAACATCAACATTTCACCAATGGCGTGACCAAGGGCAGGTTTATGGCTTAAACTTTCAAAGCAAAGATGATGCAAGTCAGTTCAAAGAAGCCATAGATGAGGCGTTAAGTGCTGTAAATTCAGGTAAAATTTTATGCATGCTTAATGCAGGCAAAATTTTATTGATACCATATGGTTTTGAAACTGATTGTATTTTTTATTTGTGATGGAAATGTCATTTTGTGTTATTCTGAGCTATTTTTCGCAAAAACTATTCAAAAAGAAAGTTATAGCAAATTACAACCAAAGAAATTACTGTGTGCTGACAGCAGTTTGGTGGACTAATAACTTATTTCCGAAATTGATTCTTGACTACATTGTTATAAACCAGATTAATGATTTAGTAATAATTTGTAATAATTTGTATGTGAGATATGACATATTGTGTTTGATTGCTTTACACTGGAATTGTAAAGAAGGGGCGATACCACCCACCCCAATATTTCTCATTCAAACTTACTTATGAGGAGAAAAGGAGTCATGAATAATTTTACCCCCCTCCCCCAGAAAGAAATTGCTGAAATGCTGTGCGGTCCCTGCCCAAACACAAACATTGATCCACTAAAGAACTTGAAACTCATTCGAGCAGTTACAAAGGAACACTCAAATATTAAACAAAGAGCTTATCTCTGACTCATCCGGGATTCTGACGTCAGTGACGTAAATGCACAAAATTACGCTACAGACGGCGGGCATGAGGCAAACTTTACAAATCACGACCAAATTTTCGGGTTATCTAGGTCGCTTCGTGCATTTAAGCACTGTTGATTGACGCAAATTGATTACATTAAAAAATAACTCTGCTCATCCATCGTCCAAATATGGATAATTTCTCTGATATCGTGTATGCATTTATTGAAACACGAGTAGAGTAGATTCACCTCCGCTATCTTTAGTATTGTATTCCAAAATTCACGCGTCGCAATTCTATCAGAAGTCTGTCTCTTATTGCATAAAAGTGCTCGACAACATTTGAGATTTGAATGTGATATAATTACAAAATGACTTCATTTGTTTCCATCTCTCGTGTTGGTAATGATGTTAAGTGTAAGTTAAATTATTTTTCACAGTTATTTCATAAGTTTTCTCAGGCTTTCTTGCAATCGCTGAATATTTAATATAAACTGCGCCAGACGATTATCGTTATGAATTCCATGGTGAGCTTGTGCATAGCCATTATCCTACGTTAATTTTAGTTTGTACTTAATATAGCCAATCTCCTACTTTGTCCAATGTTTGTTTATTATTTTAACATTCACCCCTTTATCTAAAATATGCGATATTTGTTATATCTACAACAGCGCCACCACAGCGATCTCATACTCAACAGTATATCCCTCAGAGTACCCCAAAGAACTGGCAAAGTCGTAATCACTCATTACAGAACGAAACAAAAGTCGATGAATCACCGAAAGAACCTGAGGTAGAAGGGACTATTTTGTGTCAACCGCTAAGAGAAATGTTGACGAGGGGGGATTTTGGCTGAAATATAATAAGTAATTTTTTCTATATTGGATTTTCATGGTTATTTAAATCTTTAAGTTTTCGGTCGAGAATGTTTCTGTTCTAAAAAGGATTATTGAAGTTTTGTGCAAAACTTTAAACAAAATATGCTTCTTAGTTTTTAGAAGCAATGCGATTGCCCAACATAAAACTTTTGTTAAGATCAAGGATAAGTTGACATTTTTATTGAAAGTGAAGTTTTGTTTTTTTTCCCGTATTTTGTATGTGTTTCGTTATTTATCATACTGAAAGATATATGTTGGGCTGTTGTATTTTCCCCTGAAAAATTCATAGCTGCTTTTGGTTCTGACATACTACACATACAACCACAGAATATTTGGCTGAATGGACAGCAATTGTGGTCAAAAAAATCCTCTTTCATTTTTAAAGTGTTAAAAATTGGCCTTTCTTGTTTAGAAGCCAAAAACTGTCAGCACTTCCATATCGATTGCTCCGTCAACTCCTGGTAAGCCTAATGATCTTCTCGATCAATGATAAGTAATTTGTTTATCTTTACGTCTTTCGACGTTTAACCAGAGCAGATTCTTATTATAAACTATCCAAACGCCAAAGTGAAAATAGTTGCTGTAAAATATCGGTTGAATTTCATTTAATGTTCCCTGACGTGTTACACCTTTTTGCATGTCTTATATTCTGTAGTTGTCCAAGTAAGCTGTATTACCAAAGGATAATGCCGATATAGTGTCTTTATATATTTGTTTCAGCTGCTGCACCAGTTGCACCAACACCTCCTGTTGCGCCAACACCTCCTGTTGCGCCAACACCTTCTGTTGTACCAACGCAACCAGTTAATTCTTCACCACCAGTTGTTCCCACTCCACCAGCTGCTCCTGCAGCACCAGCTGCTCCACCCAGCCCGCCACAACCTCCTTCTGGACGATCTATACCAGCAGCTCCCCCAGCTCCTACCTTAGGTGGGGGAGGTGTTCCTGCTCCTCCGCCTCCACCTCCTCCTCCATCTTCAGGTGGGGGAGGTGTCTCTCTTAAACAACAAATTGAAGAGTCCAAATTGAAAAAAGCCCAGGTGAGCCTTTCGACGTCGTAAATTCAAATGAGTGTTATGTGTTTGATGAGCTATGGTTTCATTTTCTCTTTTCTTTCTTTCAGGAACAGCCAAAGGTTGAACCTAAGGCAAGTGGACCGTTTGGTGGTGATATGATGGCCGAAATGCAGCGTAAATTGGCAGCGAGGTTTGTTGGAACTCTTCAAATATTTTGAAATTTGAAAGAAACGGCGAGAGTTGGTATGCTTTATTCCGATGTAGGAAAGCAAAAGGAGGAGATGATTCCGGACCCACGAGAAATCATGTGCCAAATGTCGATTCAAGGCCTGAAAAAATATCTTCAGGTAACTTTATTAATACTATGATATGCGCCTCTACCCTCCCCTAAAGAGTCAATCGCCAATAATCTATTATTTTTTTTTACATTCTACCTGCAGTCTCGAAACCATTGAACTCCAATAAGTTACCATCTAATCTATCTAATCTAAGTAAGACTTCATCCATTAGACAGGACAGGTAAATAATATCAAAAATCCTATTTCTTTCGTAGAAATCTATTGCTGTACATGTAGCTACCTTGTTTTTGTTTTGTTTTGTTTTGTTTTAGTAAAACGAACGCTGTTAGCTCACTTCAATTGCAAGAATTAAAGATGGTAAGCGACGGCAACTTTATAAATGTTGAAAAATCTAGGTGTTCAACATATTAGTTAGTACGTTTTCTTTGAATGGCATTACTCATGCATGTACGTTTTGACACCAAAAGGCTGCTGACCAACTGATGTGCAGATCATGACTTTTTAAGCGCTTATACCTCCAAATTTAACAGCATAATTTTGTTATTGTAATCCAAAGAACATTTAAATACGACGTAGGCAAAAACGTCTGTAACATCGCGACATTTATTCAATAAACTATTGTGGTGAATAAAATATTTTGACGTTGACGAAAATTGATGATATGATTAAAACGTTACTATTTGTCACTGAACAAGCTTAAATATCTCTAGAAAGAAGTAATGAACTTAATTCTACTGAAAAGGCTTAGCAATACAAAAAACTTTGTAGAATTGTGTGTCATGAGCCCTTTTAAGGCAAAACATCATACTTTGCCTCAGTGTTTCACTTTATTCCAGTTTGACTAGATTATTAAATAGTAACTCGAATTTAACTGTTTTAACTCGTGTTTAGGAAATCCTTGCAGAATTTAGAAAAGATTTAGAAGCGGTTAAAAACGAAATCATTCAAGGTATATCTCTTATCTGTTCTTTTTCTCGAGTATTTTGTGCCCAACTTTGAACTTTTGTGCCCAAGTTTGTACTTTTGTGTCCAACTTTAAATTTTAGTCCGTAAGTTTGAAATTTTGTGCCCAACTTTTAACTTATAAATTTTATAGAAATTCGTCAAGAAATATCGCGAACAAGATAGATGAAGTTTTGTAGAATATTTCAATCGTATTTCAATTTTATCCAAATCGTTAAAGATGAATGTGATCTAACTTTTCGTGGCCTTGAAAGATTTTAGTTGAACTTCCTATAAAGAAATAATGAATTTGCCGCGTTAGGAGAATATTTCCCTGCTGCAACCAGCTTAATTGAGATGAGGAGACGAACACATATTGATGTACACGATTCAGTGAAAAATGTATAGTTTTGAATCAAATGTGATCATTTGTACTTGACGTAGTCTTTAGTATATGTTACACTGCATATGAAGTATTGACCACCTTAACATTAATGATCGATAGTGAGAGAGATTTTTATTTTACCTGGGTATATAGGCCCTGGCATTTAGTCTTGGTGGTATTACAAATTTAAGTGAAATCTGTTACTAAAAATTTCATTATTAGCTATCTTTCTTTATAATTATTTTACTACTATTACATACTATCATACAATTTATAAAAAATAATAAAATACTTATCATTTGTCCAATTTATTGTAATGAGCACCTTGCTCCACTCGTACGTTTGTTGCTTCATCTACTTGTTCAAGCATGTTACATCAAAGTCTTCCAGCTCCGTGGAACCTGCGATTACGTAATGCAAAATGGTTTCATTATAGTTGTTGAAGTGTATAATTGCGCCTATTGCATTAGTAAAAAGTTTTGTTTGTATTAAAGTCATCAACATCTTCAAAATTTCATAATGATATACAATGAAGAATATGTGAGATACTAAACTCACTCTCGTAGCCAGGAATTTCTGTCAAGAGGGGCCAGTTCAGTTGTAAGAGGGGGGGTCATAACTGTTTGTTTTAAACAATACAATGTGAGTATAACATGACATTTTAGAGGGGCCAAGATGCTTACCACTTATGACTTGTTCCAGCAATGTTTTCTCTTTTCAGACGAAGATCGGTGTATAAAGAAATGGCACTAATATGAAAGATAGAACTTGATTGAAATCGTGATGATTTCCTAGTTTCTCTTTCTGCAGGTGAAGTTGACGATAACATTGGACTTTGGATCAGATACGTATGTTAATTCCTAGAAGATTCCTTTTACACGTTTGGCAAATTGAACAGATCTCGTGGAGAGTGGGGCTGAAGGCGTTTATACAAAAGAGAAGAAAGATAGCTTCAAAAGGATAAAGGAAAAAGATACGTCTCTTTTAGATTTCATTGCTGTTTATGAAGATTCTATTAAATGACTCAAACTACAGTACTTGAAAAAGTTTAATTTACGCACAATTGAGAATGATAGGTATGTATATGGACTGATATGGTTAATGAGAGAATGAATGGCGATCATTTCAATTTCAACCATCGGAGAGTACCGTATCTAATCGGAAGAAATGCATCCAATTGATCCAATCACATCCGGTAAATTGTTGCCCGCCGTTTTGAAATTTTACGATTAATAACCGTTAAAATTTTCGCTCTTCTGTTGCCCTTTGTAAACACGACTAGTGCTCGCAAAATCGTTTGAAATTTTGACAAAATACCAAGTTTATGGTATCGATATGTCTAGAAAAGGAAAAAAAGTTGGTTTTGATGTAGGGGACGCAGTTATGGCCCGATGGCCGGGCAGTAAGCTTTGGTACGAAGCTGTTGTTTTATCGACAAATTATGAAGAAGATGTATTTCAAATTAGATTTCCAGATGGGCAGGAAAATGAAGTTCCTTACTCGCACATAGCGGTAAGTATTAAGACTAATTTGTTTTCATATTGTAGCATTATGACAGCTGTAATTGTTGTAATAATTTTTTGTATTTTTTAATTGTTGATGTGTTACAAATATTCACGTGATTTCAAACATTATCTTTGTTACATACATGTATGCACTTGCCTTCAAAAGCAAGATGTGACAGACAGTCGGATGTGCCATTTTTTTTTTCATTTTTTTTTTGCTGAACGTCTATACAAAATAGTTCCATCAAATTTTAAGATGATACGTACAAAATTTGTTTGAAAGATTTGTTTTTCAAACTTACCACTCGACGAACTGAACACAATAGCTAGTACTATGTAAGATATGTTTTAGAAATCCAAATTCTTACAGACTTTTGGATTATGAACCCAAATCATTTGATACAATTTTTATGCAATTCCATCAAATTCACTTAAGTTATCTTTGTATTCTATGCTTATCATCAGAAACCATCCCGGTTCAGAGCTCGTTCATCTTCACCAAGCCGAAAGCGTAAAACATCACCTGGAAGACGTAGACGATCTAGATCAAAATCTCCATCTAGGAAGAAAGAAATTTCACCTAAGATACAATCTCTCATAAGATCTCCAGGACGTCCAAAACCTGTTTCATCACAAAAGAAATTGACAGCTAGTGACTTAGATGAAAAACCAAGTGTGAATGATGGAACTACCACCATAACTACTGAAGACAAAGATATCAGCAAGCTCTACATTTGGTAAACAATTTGAACCCATAGTTACAAGATCTGCCCTAAAGCAGCTTGAAAAGCATGGTGTTGATGCACAAGGTCTACTAAAGGGTCTTGGGGAAGAGCTTAGTGAAAGGGAACCCCATGTGAAACCAGGCTATGCTTTTGGAGGACCTATTGGTGTGTTTATTTTGATGGTGTTTCTTCCTTGTGTTCTCTTTGGCACATATCTTTATTGCTATGAGAGAAAATGTTATTATATTGCTGGGATTTTGCTGAATCCTAAGAAGAAGCTGCCTTCCATGATTGAATTCCTTGACCCCAGAGCTGCAGGTCTAGTTTATGGTTGGGTTTTATTTCAAGCTTTCTTGAGCATTTTACCTTTAGGAAAGGTAAGCATTTTTTATTCCTTATACTGTAATGCCATTATGTCAATAAAACATTTGTTATGTTTTAGGTGGTGGAAGGACGTCCTTTGCACAATGGTAGTCGACTGAAGTATCGTCTTAATGGTAAAGTTTTATATTTGTAATGTATTATATACATATATATATCTTCCCAAGTGCAGTGGTCACCATTTCACTATGGTGATAGCCAGGAGGGCACATTGTTAAAAATGTTTTATAACAGTGGCTAGTCTGCAAGTTAGATCCTGTTATGTAAATTTCAGATCATGTGCAATATTTATTTCTTTAGAAACATGTTGTTTTTAGGGTGAGTGCCCAGTTGAATATTTACATAAAACGACAAACTTGCAACATGGCTAAGCTACTTTCACCTTTTGCAAAGGAATGCTTTTTTTAAATTCTTTGTTTTATACCTTTGGTAAAGAACAGAGACTGCGTCTTAGTGACACATTTAAATATTGCCTTGAAAAGCCCATGTGGATTTGTTTTATACCTTTGGTAAAGAACAGAGACTGCGTCTTAGTGACACATTTAAATATTGCCTTGAAAAGCCCATGTGGAGAATCATTTTCTGAAAGTTTTTCTTTTGTCAGGTCTTTATGCTCTGTTCATCAGTGTAGCCACATTTTGGGCAGGCTTTTATTTCAAACTTCCCATCGCACAATTTATCCGTGACAAATTCCTTGCTCTTATGACGCATGCACTGTTGCTATCATTGGCTGTTAGCATCTATCTACTTATTAAGAGTTCTATAGAGAATACTGGACTGTCAACGCTTGGTAACACAGGTTTGTTGCTCTTTTATCATTTCAGATTTTGTATTCAAAAGTTGTCAATGTTTTGAAAAACGTGGTTATTTTAGGAAACCTAATTTATGACTTCTTTATGGGGCGACAGTTAAACCCTCGAATTGGAAACTTGGATTTAAAGTTTTTTTGTGAAATGCGTCCTGGACTCATTGCTGTGGTGAGTTTGATTTTTATCGATTGGAGTATTGCATGATTTATAATGACAGTTGTACTTCTAATTTCCTAGGTCATAATTGATTTTTCAATTATGTTGTATTCTCAAATGGACTCAGAAAAAATCAATGGCACTCTTCTTCTTTTCTGCATTTTTCATTTTATTTATGTAGCAGATGCTCTTTGGTTTGAAGTATGTTAATCATTTTAATATGTCAATACTTAATTGAGTATTTGTCAATTGTACTGGCTGCAATCCTATCTTATCCATATGTTTCATTGATTGTTTATAGTACAGGCTGCAATCCTATCTTATCCATATGTTTCGTTGATTGTTTATCGTATAGGCTGCAATCCTATCTTATCCATATGTTTCATTGATTGTTTATAGTACTGACTGCAATCCTATCTTATCCATATGTTTCATTGATTGTTTACACTATAGGCTGCAATCTATCTTATCCATATGTTTTGTTGATTGTTCATTGTATAGGCTGTAATCCTATCTTATCCATATGTTTCATTGATTGTTCATTGTGTAGGCTGCAATCCTATCTTATCCATATGTTTCATTGATTGTTCATTATATAGGCTGCAATCCTATCAAGTCCAGATATTACAACTGAAGGATTTGGTTTTATGTTTGCGTTTGGTGGTCTTGTATGGGTTCCCTTTATCTTCTCGCTGCAATCTCGATACATTGCTCAACAAAATTACACAATTTCCCCATATCTTGTTGTATTTGTCTGTATCTTGAACAGTAAGCCAACTTTCGTTGTTTTTATGTCTACTTTTTGTCCATTTAAGTTTGTTTTTTTATCCATTTAAGTTTGCTTTTTGTTGTTGAAGACATTGTTCTTTTTATTTGCAGCTATTGGATTTGTTGTTTATCGCGTGGCAAACCTGCAGAAAGATCTTTTCCGTCGAAATTCAAATCATCCTGCTGTAGAACGTAAATATGACGATATTACATGTGATGCTGACATAATGTATCTAAAATGAACCATTTTTGGTTACGTTTCTAGATCTGGAATCCATGGTAACAAACGTACCTGGTTATCGTCTCCTTATTACTGGTTGGTGGGGCTATGTACGTCATCCAAATTATCTTGGTGATATTATTATGGCAATCGCTTGGTCCTTAACTTGTGGTCAGTAAAACGGACATTTTATTCATCGTTCTTGTCTTACCTATATGTTTGTAGATGTAGATAGTCTGGGTTAATGCATGCCTGACAAGGATTTTTCATGTTACTGTTGACTGGTGTTTTGAAAACCATAGCGGTGTCCAATTTCTGAGTCAGGTGATGATGACATTTCAGGTTTTCCTGAGCTTTTCGAAACGTCAGTCAACATCAACACCAACAGCCATACTCAGGATTACACACTATCCTTGACCATCAACATCTACAAACATGTAACGATACTCTTGGGCTAAAACCATCCACTTTTTTCTCGTCATATTTGATAAAACATTTTTCTTTCATTCTTTTCAGGTTTTAGTCACTTCGTGCCATATGTTTATCCTGTCTACCTTACGATTCGATTGCTTTATCGTATTTATCGTTTTGAAGCTCTGTGTCGTGTGAAGTACGGTGCCTCTTGGGATGAATATTGTCTTCGTGTGCCGTATCGTCTTATTCCAAATATCTTTTAAACGCTCGTTGTATGATCATATTGAAAAGATATCCTCTCTAAAAAACATCACTAAAATGTTTTATGTCTTTTCAAAGACCAACACTGAACGTATCCGAGATTTTATCTCTGTATCTTTTACGTGTGAAATGTGGTTTTACTATGAGATTCTCCAACTCTGGCATACATCAATCGTACTTGAGAATCAAAAGACGATGAATATATATATGATCATTGGGATATTGTTCTCTGGGATTTTAACAAGGATTTTATTTAATTTGTGTACATACTAGCAGTAAATTAGAATGGATGTTTTTAATTTTTTTATCTCTACAAGACTACAACCACCATAATGTACAAATAGATAATGATTTCTCCATTAGAAAGTAAGTTTTAAATCGTCACTTCGCGTAATAAAATATACATGTAACGAATGATGAATTCATAGCAACTTTCAGTTCCATCAAGTACTGACTCGTACGTGCCTGTTGGACAGAACTATTCAGCCTTTGTTTAACCGGAAAGTTTTAACAGTCCGTCTTTCAATATTCTATTTGTTTGTTTTTTCCCGAAAACAATAGATGACTAAGAAAAAGGATCATTATTAATATTCTGGGATTAATAAACCGAACCAGGTGACTGCTCAGTCTGCTAGAAGTTTAAAAGTAATAATCAGATGAAACTTATAGACTGCATATTTGATATTTGAATTTTCATTTTTCTTTATCAGTGGGCTTAGTCAGCCCTTTAAATTTGGTCCGCCAATATATATGTATATGAACAATATTATTTAGAAAAACCAAAAAATGCCGGCTGACTTTACATCACTAAGAAAAATGTGAATATTAATAATGCCTCAGAGCGACATTACTCTAGGGAAAAACAAATAATGTCGTCTTTATAAATCAATCTTGGACAAGGATTAATTTAAACCAAACAACCAATCAAAGCGATTGTGAATATTTGAATAAAAAATGAATGATTTTTACATAAACTGGTGTGTTAGGTAAAAACATCTATGAGCTTGCATCGTGTTTCATATTTACTGTTGGTCTGTTGACTACTATTCATCCATTTTGTATTCCGTTTGATTTCGGTCTTCTTTAAAAAACGATGATGTCTAAAATTGTGTCTTGGTTATCGTTTACATTGGTCCTCATATTTTTCATTCCTTATAATAGTGGATTTTCCGCTTGGGGAGGCGTAACTCCTGGAAAGAAACGAAATAATGTGGTATGTCAGTTCACAGCACATCGCATTACGTGTAATCTAATCTTTACTTGGGAAGTTTCTTTTGCATGAATACAAAAGAAAAAGGAATTGAAAATACATCAAATTTGATAAACTGAAACGAATCAAACTTTAACTAAAAAGTCCAGACTAGTTTGCTTGAATGCGTCGGATTTTTCGAACATCTTATTGTCAATTGAGAACATTTAACATTGCATGGTCACAGATTTCTTCACAAATACTGTCGATAAATGTCTGAATAACTTCTAGTGACTTCGGAAGTCATCATTCATTGTATCTTTATAAGTGAATGATTTCAACAACAATTCAAAGTAAAGTCAGTCGACAAGATGATTACCAACTACCAAGAAGATGTTGGAACGGTCATTCAGATTCATTCTCTAGATTGCACTAACTTTGGCTATCAACATTTATAAACATGTATATGTGTAGTTTTTATATCAACGGCAGACTTTGTTTTACTTTTTTATCTCTTCAACAAACTGCCGATCGTCTATTCCGGAAAACGTTTTTATTTTCATGTATTGAAAATCTCCATGGATTTCTTTCTTTACTGTCAATTTGAATTACCAGCCGTCATGTATATTGTATTATATTTAGCCTAAAAAAGAAATAAATGTGAACATCAATCGACTTCTAAGTTCAAGTTTGCAGACATTTCATAAGGTAAATTAACATTAAAATATGTTGAGATAGTATCCATTTCCGTAATGGGAAGATTTCTGAATCATTCAAATAATTGGATGAACGTGATATATTCTATAGAAGACCTCAAATACTGAAGATAAAGATAAAAAATCAATCAATTCTCAAAATAAAGGAGTTTATTGTCTAAAAGGAGATAAAGGGGATAAAGTAAACGATGGATCACCTGGAAAAGACGTTACGTGCAAGCAGGTTACTTGGGCTTAACAAAATAACCAACCGTGAAAAAATACCGAAAATAATGTCATTTCTCTTCATCATCAGATTGAATCGAGAATGAAAAGATTTGAGACAAAATTAGATGCATTGTCATTATACTACAAGAAAGAGGTAACCAAACAATGTATATTAATTTGTATTTGAACTTTATTTACATCAACACTGACAGTAATATTCTTTTTACTTTATAATGACTTCTTTTATGAAAATATTTCAGATTGTCCAACTTCGTCAAGAAGTTCACGCATTAAAATCAAGTAAATGTTTCCGAGTTTTAAGAAGTTCACAATGTTCGTTGATGAATACGTTTTTTAATTGAAAATAATTCCAAACTTTCAGATACTTTGCACCCAATTGGTTCTCAACTTAACCCAGCTAAGTCCTGTAAAGAAATCTACGAAATGGAAAGGTAACAGGTCGTCCTTCATGGGAGTTAAGTTTCCACTATTAATCTATTACTTGATTTTTAACTAGCTTCCCTCCCAGTGGACCGTACTACTTAAATATCACAGGAAATTTAACCAAAGTATACTGTATAATGGAAGATGGGACAAAAACTTGTCCAGCAGGATCGACATTGGTCTTGAAAATCGATGGCACTAAGGTAGATTGTTTGTCGGTGTTGCTGCTGGAGAATAAGTTGAACAAAACGTTAAATGTAGTTTTTTTCTTCTACTGAAAGGAAAAGTTTGTTTACCTTGTTAATGTCGTCAAATGTTTATGGAAGTCAACAGGTTTAACAATTTAAATAATTTTTAACAGGATACTTTTGCTTATTCGTCTCCTTTATGGACGAATAAAGATGTGTGGAAAGAAAAAAATGGCGAAATCTTTTTTGCCAAGAGTGAGACAAAACTATCGACATATTGGGGCGTTTCTTTCAATCAAGTCTGTGTGATCATGCAAAGAATGGAGTCTTTGGTTAACGAAACGAAATCGTTGGTTATTCGACAAACATCTACGTCTTTATACGACCTTGTCGTTGGTGGTGAGTACCACCCTGTCAATAATTCCTGGCAATTGTGGAATTCCTTACTTCCTAGTTATCCCACCCAACCCTCTTGTGTCCGGCAAGGTTTTAATGCGCATGATCAAGCAAAAGATTTTCTTGGCACACGTATTGGAATGATATTAAGCAACAACCAAAATTGTACATTATTCGATTCATTCATTGGTTTTGGAACAAAAGGGAGAGAAACCAAGCGCAATATCTCTTGTGGTTCTTATAATACAACATTGCATAATGCTGTTCCTGGCTTTGGATACGTATTTGTTTATTGACTTAGGTGAAGATAACCATATATTACGTTTAACGTACTTCTTTAAGAATTTTTATTTCATTAGAATGAACTAATCATAGTGATACATATTATTTAGAAAATAAAAAAAAAAAGTCATGATTAAAACAAAATGTTTAACCCCACCCCCTAATGTAAATGTTTTCGCGTTTTGCTTCGTGTATTTCTCGCGTCTCGTGTATGTCTCGCGAGTTGGGTTAACCGCTGGAGACTGGTGTTTGTCAATCAAAGCTTCGAAGCCCTTCTAGGAAAACGAAAAATGAGGGTTGGTAAAACGAAAAATTTTTACTGAGGAAATATTTTTCCTGAGTAAAACAGCCGAAAGTGTCAAGCTAACTTACCAATGCATTTTTTCACGAGCTTATATACCGTAATTACTTGAAAATATATATCAAGATTGTCTTGAAAAAAGTAATGGTTTATCGAGGCAAGACTTTGAGAAAAACCAAACAGCAAGCAGAAAAACGGTATGTATGTTTTCAAATGCTTCTAACGATTAAAAAAACTTGAATTAAAGAAAACATTCGAGTGTTTAGCACAATAGTTAATAGACTACTGAAGACCATTGCTTAGTGCTTATAGACCTTTGTACAGCTTTTTTTTACTTCCTTTCCTACAATTCGCTTTTATTAATAATTGCATTACTCCAACTTGAAAATTGATTTCATCGAATATTGCAGGCTGATGGTGTTTGTCGTTTTCATCTTGAATAATGATTGCCCGTTTCTGAAGGAATAAGGTTTGCTCAAGAAAATGAGTCTTGAATTTAATTTATAAAGTTATACTTATATGATTTTATTATTAGTATTATTTTGAAACATTACCTGTCTAATGCATGGTCTGATGTAGGAAATTCAAAGTTGAACACAGTGCTTGTTTTATTTATACATTCTTGTCTATTAACACGTTCTGATCGGCTCAGAACAAAATGTCAACAAAAGCGCTAAATGGTGAATTCGAAATTTTTTTTTGAATGTGTACATTTTTTAAAGTTTTAACCCTGCTTCATGGTTTCTGTTCTATCTTGATAAAGTGCCAAATCTCGAACAAACTTTTGGAAATTGATAACGTGCTAAATAATATCTTAATTGACATCAATCATCATGCAAATGAACTTAGTAAATAAAATATTTCATCGTGTTTAGCGGATATTTAGTTTAAAACATTCTTAAAAAGATGCTGTTATCAAAGATGGCGATCATAAGCTTCTTTAAAAATGGCGATTAGGTTTCTGTTCAAGGTATTCGAAGTAGCTGTGGTAAATAGAAGTGAACTTCATTCTTAACATTTATATTCAGTTCAATGTCAATATTAGAGGACGACTATATTTTAAATAAGACTTTTCAAAAGACTGTGCAAGAAAAAAACTTCCATCGATCTTGGAGAGAAGACACATGCATTTTAAGTCTCATTTGAACAAAACAGACATCCCAAATATTACAACAATGGTAAGTTAACCAAAACATTGTTTATGAATGTAAGCAGGTACTGCTCCCCAGTACACAACGTTTGGGAAGCATGGTTCTATCAAAGCAAAAGAATAAGTAAACATATATACTCAAGGTTTGGGATGTCTCTGTGAAATTGCATCTTTCCAGTTTAATCTAATATTTGTCCAGCTAAAAAGTTTTGTCTCTTGTTTTGTCTGAGTAATGATAGTTTTGTCTGAGTCAATGGATAGCAATTTTAGTGGATCAATGAAAAACCCTTTTTGAGAAGACATTTGTCAAAGAAAAGAGTTCATTTTGCTTCTTCTCTGGTATTTTATATCAAAGCGCTTATGTTGCTGAACGAATTCACAAATTGTTCGGAGTTTACTATTAAAATGATCAGTCACATCATTGTGATTAAGATGTATTTTATTCATATAACAATAACCGTGTTTCATCAACATAGCATAAGTGTGGAGAGTGCAAAACGATATTACGTAACTGTAGTCACGTGAACTTTTAATATGCTAATGTGATTATCATATATTATTATGTTTCTCATCTAACATATACCATGTCATGTTACTTTCTTCTGATGCTCTGGTCATCTTTCTTTTCGTAGTTTTCTTCATCATCCACATCCTCTCTTTTCATTTTTAGAGCAGAAGACTTGCTGTCTCCTCTAAAAGCGGCCATATCTATTGCTCATATCACAACTTCCAAAATTACTCAAAATTTTCATTTAGTGAAAATTGAACTCGACTCTTGACGGTCGTTTTAAATATGCTTACAAGAACACGATCTAGTATGTTTATGTTCAATAAATAATAATTTAGGTGAAGCTCCATACTCTGTATCTTACACTACACTTTCCTTTTTAACAGAGTACGAATCTGAATTCTCACTGGGAGCCTGAACAAGAACTACAGATGTATGGTGCGGATTCTCTGTATCAACAACGTGAAATTCTCTCACGTTTTTCTTCTGCTTTGTTTCCTGTTTATTAAATATCTCAGCAACGCGAGGTTGTTGACTTCTTTCTTTACTTTGTTGTCGATAGAATGTATGTAGAGTTCGTAAATGTTCTGTGTAGTCATGTTGCTGGTTTTCATCCTTAGACAGAATCCTTGCCAATTGTCTTGACGTGTTCTGTCAACGCAAAAGTAACTCTTTGAAAAATTATGTCTCTTCACAGACCTTCATTACGGTAAATAAACTATAAATTACAACTATAAGTAAACAGAATAAAAATCAATTACAACTTCTTACAGTTCAACAACTTACAAAAGCGTTCGTCCCTCCTGTAGAAGTTCGTCTTACAACAGATTGATATTCGTCATTTTCCTCAACGTCCTTGTTAGGTTAAATAAAAGTAAATAAAGATGAAAGTTCATGACACAACCTCCATGAAGAAAAATACCTTTATCATTTCTACTAACTCCCAATTTAATCTTAAAGAATTTTTTGAGAAATTATTTTCTGGATCAGATTCTTCATCGAAAACTTTCTAAAACAAAAAATTACAAAAAAAAAATTAGTCCAATCAAATATTTATAAAACACTAACTATTGTAAGTGAACTTGCTTTAGGTTTAGCCGAGGAATGCATTAAGGAAACATTGTCATTGTCAAATTCCTCATTACCAAGTTTCTAGAACAAAAAAATACAGAAGATTTTTGTCCAATGGCAATATATAAAAAACTACTTTGAGAGAACTTACCAAAAGCTCTGCTGACAATCTACTTTTTTCATCACGAACTTTCTACAATTAAAAATACAAAGGAAGACTTAATTGTTAAGAACACTTTACACTAATTATTGTGAGTGAGCTGGCTAAGAATTCTTACTTTCCATTCATTTAGGAGGTTTAATGCTTCATTGCCTTTAAAAGTTTTATATGCTTCTCTTGCAACCTAAAAAAAGAAGAGAGAAATATCAACGAAGCAAACAGTACAATAACATGGTTGAAAACTACTTACTTTGATATGTTTAGTCCAGAATGATTGAGTTGCATTGGAACTTGATGCTTGTGGTACAACTTCCTTCACCTACGTTAAGGTAACGAAAATATTTCCTTTAAAAAAACGAAAAAGTATGACTAGTTTATGATTCCACGTACCTTAAGAACTAATATAGCAGTTATAACAATACAGATGATGTTGATAACAGTCAAGACTAAACTTATGATCGCCATAATAGCAGCCTCTTCAGCCATATTACATCTATACATAGGTACATACTTGTTGTCTTTAAACAAAGGACATTTGAGCTATATAAATATTTATAAAGAATTGAGGATAACAACAGCATGCATTGTTAAAATTTGTTGTGTCTTACTGTTGAGTTATTTAAAGATGATAAAGTTTCTGGAGGATTAATGGCGGCAACAATAGCATATGCCCACAACATGCCCTGAATAGTGACAATATTTTTATGATTTGAATTTCTACTTCAACAAAAAGTTAGCAGAAGAATAAGAGCTTACAGAGTTTACAGCTGGAGCAAGAAGAGATGCTGATATTGCAACCCCAACAAGAGATCCAGCATTTCCACCAAGAACAGACAATGCAACACCTGCACCAGATGGTAGTGTAATCAATACACCAATCCAAAGACTACGAATCATGCTTCTAGAATTTTAAGAATAGCTATTTTCATTTTGATCACAATTTTCTTTCTGCTCATTGTTATCTTCTCTGCACCTGCTGGACATTTCATTTGTAGGCCAGATTCCTTTAACACTATCCCATGATGCACCAGACCTTCCAAATGGTCCAGCAATGAACCCAAACAGTAAACCTACATTTTAAAAGATATTAGTTATTACACTATTGAATGTTTTATTCTTCATCAATGGGAAATCAAACAACGACTTTACCAACAAGCACAGAAATAGTCAGGCCATAAATCTCTGTTTTGAACCCAATATTTCTCAAATTATCTTTTTTAATTACAATGCCAAATGTTCCAGCAAGAATTGGACCCTATATGAAATGTAATCAATGGTTTAGACACTAAAAAGACGAGTTAATACATAGGAAATATTTGGAATGTACCATTAAGGGTGACACCAACATACTTGCAACTATTACTACAGCATTGTCCTCAACCAAACCAACAGCAGCTATAAAACTTATGATTTACCAAAAATTATGATTTAATGAATCTTATAGTTTAAAAAAAAAATTCCTAGTTCTCTCAAGAAAAATTAACTGAAGTATCTGACCTTGCCAGGATAGTAAACATGACAAAATCAAATGTCAGCATTGTGTGATCTGTCACTCCTTTAACAACCTTGAAAATAATAACCCACTCATTTGTTAGAATAACACTAAGAACATTAGTTGAAGTCAGAACTGATTTACTTGCTCGACAGTTAATCTTGACTTAATCGACTCTTTGAACTTTTCTTTGGTTGATTTTTGTTCTCTAAAATATATTTATCAACAAAACCTTTCAGCAAATTATACTTGATACTGATATCTTCATTGACTATCACTTATGATACTGGACATGTAAGTTTCAAGGTTGAACTCACCCAAAATGTGAATCAGTCAGATTTTGTTGATTTTCATCGAGTCCTGACCCAGAAATTTCATTGTTTTCCATCTCTATATGGACTGTTGTTGGTATGACACTGTAAATATAATATGTTAGGATAAAATTTCTTCAATGATAGCTTATTTTTATACCTTATAGAGGTCTTTGGACGTATTCCAATGCCAATTTGGGTTAATCGCCCTAAAATTTCTTCCATTCTTCTTCCAGTCTTTGCAATAAACACAACCTATAATGGTGTATTGAAAGAAAAAATTGTTGTTTTACAAAAAGAATAGTCTGGCCATCTAAATTTCGGAGCAAAAATTAACCGAAATATTGCAATAACACGATACCACAATGCAGTTATTCTACTTGCTTGGTAAAATTGTTTATCAGAGGAAATATTCCAAGATTCACCATGAACCTTCAAAGATAACAGTTCATTTCGCAAAACCTTTAAAACAATTAAAAGCTATCATAAGTTAAAATTCAAGAACAGAAAACTACAACAGTGGGGATTTATTTTCTACCTCAGGTAAGTTTATTTGTTCAGCCAAACTAACTACGTCATCATCGTTATCTGTTGTCTTCTCTTCTTTTATTGTATCGGTCAAACTCCTTTTTAAACTTTTATCGCTACCTCGCTGTTCAATTTCGGAGTCTTTGTTTTTACGTTCATAGGGCACAACTATAATAAAGACGACAGAAGCCATTGGGTATGGAATTTCTTATGAAGGTCGTAGAGTTCAGTGGGCCGTTCACACGCAATCAAATTTTTGAAACCCTTTTTGCTTTAAATGCTTTTTGCATTTTTTGGTGACAGGCTTCTTCTTTATTTTGTATTTTCTAGAGCTATTACTTCAAGTCTGAAAAAATTTGATATAGCCAAATTGTAAAGTGATGTTGTCAAAAAATATAGTTGAAATTTTGAATTGTTTCTGTTAGGTTAAACATAACTAATTGATATTTCGTTATATTAACTTCCTTATAGACACGTGAACATTTTTATGGAACTTTTACTGCATGCTGTTGTATAACAGTCAGTCATTGAGTTCTATAATAACTGGAGCGGCTATCTCGAGCGCGGCCTTAGATATCTGGTGACGCCAAAAAAATGGCGGATTTCGTCCGTTGCCGCTGAGATTTACCGAAATTGACCGCTTTTCCGAAAATTTCACAATTCCACTCCTCCTGAGGAAAGAGTGAGGTAAATGTATGTGTATTTGGGATTCGGCAAGCAATTTTTGATGAAATCACGATAAAACCTACAATTCGTAACAGCGAGTCAACCTTTTCCAGTTATCGGCTCCTACGAGGATGTATTTATAACTATCGACGAAAGAGCTATATGTCGGCTACATCTATGAATGCAGATATGCGTCGTTTTCTTACCAGTGTCAAACTTGTTTGATCGATTAAACTCTTTAGTCTATACAAAAAGTATATCATAGTTCATCTCCACAGTGGTTCACGAGAGAGAATTAGCTTATTTTTATCATTGCTATTTTGCTTCTTTACTTGTTTCTTTAAAAGTAAATATTAAATCTCTGGATATTTACGTGTAATTGAGTTTCATATTAAATTTCAAAAAGACTCAAGTCTGCATAGGTTTGGTAAATGAAAACAAACAATATTGTATAGAAATTACTTTAAGTAACCTTTTGTGATGTTCTGAAGTGCAACTGCATCAAATACTTGTAAAGTTAGTAGCACATTTTGATTTTGTTGTATTGATATATAAATTGGGCAAAATGCAAATAATCATCAAAACACTTATGCTTCCAATGGTGTTTATAATTCATTTTAGTTTTAATACTTCTACCCTTCTTTTTTCACTTTGTTTTGTTTTTCCTATATTTTCAATATAAGTGCACAATTTGAATTATTAACAGTTTTCACTTCAATAATAAATTTCATAAGCAGTTGGTAGTGCATTTTGTTCTCTGAGTATCCACATTTGGTGTTTCTTCATACATGAATGATGAAATGCATATGGATATGTCATAACAGGCAATAAAACCAAATGAATTAAATACCTATAGTGTACTTTTATGCTAGAAGCTTAAAAGCTTTCTAGAAATTATAAAGTTATTGGATTATATTACCTCTATATCATCAATCTCATGAAAAGAAATAAGAAGCAAAATATTTGTAGAAAAGCTTTGAAAAGTGAAAAACATTTATTTAAAAAAGCAGCAATGATGCATATGATAAATCTCCATTCTGTACTCTAATAGGTAAATAAGCTCAAACTGTTTCTTATAGAAATATAAGAAATATATAAGAAATATACAGTACAGTAATTTTAAAGGTTTCATCACTGAATCTTTAATGCTTCAGTATAGTGCATTAGATATTAGTAACATTTAAACAACACTCAACTAAAATATTTTGATAAAGATATGACATGATTTAAACATTAAGTTATATAAAACCCAATGGCTTATTCAGTTTAATGCTTCACATCTGCATCGAGTCATCATCAATCTCAGTACAAATGTTTACATAGACACAAACTTTATGGCCTTTCCATTTTATATGTTGTGAATTGACATTTAATTAAGCATCAAAACACACACAACCTTCTTGCCATCTTTTTTTGGTTCATAAACTTTAACTTCAAAGCATTCAAGGCATCCTTAGTGAATCCATTGTCTCCATCCATAGAATTTGACCATGATCAAATTAAATAACTCTGGATAAGGCAGACAATAAATCTATTATCTTTACAGCATTATCATTTTTTTAAGACTCTGCCTGGTCAATAACATCTTCCAGTCATCTTTACTCCTTGGTCTTCCCTGCATGTTGTCAGCAAATAGAACATAACAAGCTCTGCTCCAAATCATGGGAACTGTTGGGGCTGATCATTTCTTTTTGATACTTTTCACATAGCAAAATGTGTGCAGGGTCTTTTTTGCTTTAGGGAAACTATTTTGCAAATAGATAGGTAAATTTACGATTTCATGCATTAACAAATGACAGAAAAATATGCAGAAAAGTATTTATAAACAAAAACAGGAAAACATCAGTATATTTGGCGTTCAAGTCTTCAAGTTCACGATCTTTAATATCTATTTTTATGGCTTTTCAAGTGCATGTATAATTGCTTTTCAATCGTTGACGGACTAACAAAACAAACAACTACCTCACCTGTGAGAAGCGATATGTTCCTTTTTGTGGAAACTACGACATCCAACAATTGAACGATTGAAGTGTTGGCATTATAAAAGAAATGCCAAAAAAGAATCGTCACAGAATATGGAACTAACGATATCCATATTCTGTGATATCGTGTTTGTTTTTGAAAAATTCTTTATAATTTACTATAGACACCAGGGGGAGGTCGAGAATATTATTTTTCTGCAAAGCGATCATTTCAGCGGAAATACGTCCGTTGGCCGCAATTTTTTTGGCGACCTCGCCCCAGTAAAGTTAGCCGCTCCAGTTATTATAGAACTCAATGGTACAAACCGCGTGAATATTCGACTTTGAAGGACTGGAACTGACGTACAAACCGCGCAAGAGACTAGGACTTTGGCTTCAATTTTATATCTATAAAATGTATTGTAGTTATCATTCCAGATATATATATATGGAGTTCACTGTATAGAACCATTGAGTTCTATAATAACTAGAGCGGCTAACTTTACTGGGGCGAGGACGCCAAAAAAATGGCGGCCAAAGGACGTATTTCCGCTGAAATGATCGCTGAAATGAAAGGATAGTAAACATGACAAAATCAAATGTCAGCATTGCGTGATCTGTCACTCCTTTAACAACCTTGAAAATAATAACCCACTCATTTGTTAGAATAACAGAAAGAACATTAGGTGAAGTCAGAACTGATTTACTTGCTCGACAGTTAATCTTGACTTAATGGACTCTTTGAACTTTTCTTTGGTTGATTTTTGTTCTCTAAAATATATTTATCAACAAAACCTTTTAGCAAATTATACTTGATACTTATATCTTCATTGACTATCACTTATGATACTGGACATGTAGGTTTCAAGTTTGAACTCACCCAAAATGTGGATCAGTCAGATTTTGTTGATTTTCATCGAGTCCTGACCCAGAAATTTCATTGTTTTCCATCTCTATATGGACTGTTGTTGTTGTGACACTGTAAATATAAATATGTTAGGATAAAATTTCTTCAATAATAGCTTATTTTTATACCTTATAGAGGTCTTTGGACGTATTCCAATGCCAATTTGGGTTAATCGCCCTAAAATCTCTTCCACTCTTCTTCCAGCCTTTGCAATAAACAAAACCTACAATGGTGTTTTGAAAGAAAAAATTGTTGTTTTTTAAAAAGAATAGTCTGGCCATCCAAATTTCGGAGCAAAAATTAACTGAAAGATTGCAATAACACAATACCACCATGCAGTTATTCTACTTGCTTGGTAAAATTGTTTATCATAGGAAATATTCCAAGATTCACCATGAACCTTCAAAGATAACAGTTCATTTCGCAAAACCTTTAAAACAATTAAAAGGTATCATAAGTTAAAATTCGAGAACAGAAAACTACAACAGTGGGGATTTATTTTCTACCTCAGGTAAGTTTATTTGTTCAACCAAACTAACTACATCATCGTTATCTGTTGTCTTCTCTTCTTTTGTTGGATCGGTCAAACTTCTTTTTAAACTTTTATCGCTACCCCGCTGTTTAATTTCGGAGTCTTCGTTTTTACGTTCATACGGCACAACTATAATAAAGACGACAGAAGACATTGGGTATGGAAATGAAGGTTGTAGAGTTCAGTGGGTCGTTGGGACGCAATGAAATTTTTGAAACTCTTTTTGCTTTAAATGCTTTTTGTATTTTTTAGTGACAGGCCTCTTCTTTATTTTGTATTTTCTAGAGCTATTACTACAAGTCTTCACGTCCGAAAAAATTTAATATAGCCCAATTGTAACGTGACGTTGTCAAAAAATATGGCTGAAACTTTAAATTGTTTTTCTCAATCTCTCCTCCTATTGTCCCCTTTGCTAATGTAAAATAAAATGCAAAACATAATCACACCCTCCTGACTGCATTCCTACCATTCCAAGGTTTGTGTTTTTTATTTGAATTTTATTATTGCTTTATATCAAAATATATATTTTGGAAAAGTAAAAAACTGAAGAAAAATATGAATTCGATATTTCGCAGATTTTATTCGCGCAAAAAGTGTTCTTTAGGAAAGACATACGAAATAAATGACTTCATTGACTTGCATGTCTGGAATGCAAACAGCTTGAGAGATAGATGACACAACTGCGCAAACTCTGTTAAATATTTGAGTCAAGTATCTATGTTTTGTGGTCGAACTTTTTAAATTGCGATAGTTGCTAACATTTATAGCGATTTCTTAGCCTGTTGTGACACTTTTAAACCCATTGTGGATATATTATCAACTTTTTATAAAGTCATCTACAGCTCAGAATTATCCAAGGTCAGTAAATGAAGTTAGATTCAATGCCAAAATATTAAAATTTGAGCCGTGATATGTATGTAAGTAGAGTCTAGATGCGTTTTTCCATATGATCATATTAGGACAACTTTCCGCATCATACGTTGTCGTATAATTTTTTTGTTTTGTATGTTGGCATTAAGGCGTTTATTGAATAGTTAGAGTATCGTGTGTAAAATATTTTAAAGTTCAGCGTAACCTTCCAAGCCGTACGAAACATTTCATCACATTGTATTCATTCTGTGAACAATATATAGCATATTGTCTGTTCATTTGAATGTATTTGAAGTTTTAGTATTGAAATATCCTATCGTCTTGATGTAAAATAAATGGACTCAGAGACATTGAAAGTTTTGAAATATTTTTTGTGCTCTCGACGAATGGTAGTAGTCCAGTGAAAAGGAATTTCGTTCATTTGCTGTCTGAAATTTTTTGTTTTTCGTTGTCAGGCTTATTTAATAAGTTTGATTAATTAAAAGGTTTGCAGAGTGCA